GCGGCCGGGTAAGGGGACGCGGGGTGCGGCTCCCGCTGCCCCCGTGCGGAACTGGCCGGGGTGGCGCAGCACGTGGTACCCAAGACCAAGGCGCGCGGTGGGTGGCGGGTGGGGCGGAGGTTTGGGAGGAAGGGGCGACCCCTCCCACTCCCCCGAACCCGGACGCGTCTGGGTCGTGGGCTCCTTGGCTTTCGGTTCTGAAACCGACCTGACCTCTACGGAGTTGCGAGTGACTCGATGGGTGATTTCGACCTGTCTAGCCGCTGCGCGGGAGGGGTCGCGCTTGGCGACAGTCTTGGGGATGGAGGCACACAGAATGGAAGTGGAGGAGGTGTTTTAGTCCCCGTTATCTGCTAACTCTGCCTCTGGCATCCCCTTTCTGGGGGCTTCCTCATTTGCTGCCAGAGAGAAGTCTTATTCACACAGAGAAAGAACAAGGTGGATAAAGCTGGTCCCAGCCTGGCCCCTCACCTGTTGGGGGGCCGCCCTACCCAGCTGGGTAATCGCTACACCCAACACTCATGCCGAACTGGAGAGGACCTCTCAGTTCTCGCTCCTCGGTGAAAGGACCCCCATCATCCACTAGACAGGGCTGAGAAGTAGCCTTACCTGCCACCCCAGCCCAGAAGCCTAAACCGCAGAGGTTGAGTTATAGTTCATACTACAACCTTAGGCACAAGTAACTTAGCCTTTCTGAAGCTCAGATGTTCTCATCTGCTCAGCGGAGACATTTGAGTACTGACTTAACAGATGACTGCCAGGACGAGGGGCAGGGAGCTGCAGGTAGTGACAAGCCCCATATGGCATCCCAGGGAGCAGAGAATTTGATGCTACCAAGAGGGTGTGCCTAGGGGCTGAGGTTCCTGAGACTTACTGGGAGCCAGGGGGTGGAGAGGTGCAGGGTTGGGTAGATGCTTTCAGGGCGCCCTTAGGCAGGCCAAGGCATGGCCAGAGGGACACCAGGTGCTTGGAGCTGGTATTAAATTCTGGTTGCTGCTGGGTAGAGGCAACAGGAACACCTGGGCTGGCCAGCTGAGTGTCCTACCCTGGGCAGGAGTTGAGTTGGGCCCAGGCCTGGGGCAGTGACTGCTCTTTACTGCCAGGAATCTTGCCAGTGTTGGTAGGGGTGCCCCGGTGAGAAGCTGGGGGTTTCCCGCCACCATATCTAATGGAAAACCTGAGTCTTGAGCCTTCCCCACCCACTCCTAGGATAGAGTGCTCTTGCCCCCTATCTCTCCCTGTCCCTGTGCCAACAGTGCCTGGCTGGCTTGCAGATGGGCCCCATAAATAATTGGAAGGACTGAAGCCTCTGCCTCCACCCCCCTGGGGCTTGTATGCCTGCTCCACCCCTCCCTGATCTTCCACCCATGTGTGGAGGGGGTTGCTGAGGAAAGCCTCTGACAAGTCTGGAGTTTTCCAGTGGAAGGGTTGGAGGGTGAGGGGGAGCCTGTCTGGCAGGGTCTTTGTCTCAGCACTGGCTGTAGGGTGAGTTGACCCACCCCTCAGCCTCCCTGCTGAGAGACTGTTGCATCTCTTATCTCCCTAGCTACAGGTGGTTTTTATCTTCTTGATGGGTGTGTGTGAGAGAGAGACTTCTTAGAATGGGGTGGCTCCTTCAACAAGACCCAAAGGGGATCCCCCTTACATGCCCTGTGCTACTCTGCATTCTGGACCCTTACCAGGAACCAATGGCCAAAGCCTGCAGCCTGAGCCTGCGCTAGGACTACCTCCCAGGGACCAGCTAGCCCCTCTCGACCACACTGACACTGACCCCTCTGCTGGCAAGTTTGGGCATCTGGTAAGTGCCGGCCCCAGAAGGCAAGGTCACTTGTCCTCGTCCCCCAAACAGGCCTAACACTGCAGCTAGGCCCAGCACGCGCCTGCCTGGCTTTCTGTGCTCTCCAGAGGACTAGCGTCGGGATACCTCTTATTACAAGGGAGCAGGAAAGATACACCGAAGAGGGAGGGCTTTGGGGCTTTGGGGCCTGAGCAGCTAATGAGGCCTGTGCCCCCACACCACCAATCTTCAAGTTTGTTTCCAGAAAGGGGAAGAGGACAGCTGTGGGAGGAACTGAGGGGGGATGGGGTGACCCTGGGGGTCAAGGTAGGGCAGTGTTCACATACACGGTCAAGTGTTTTCCTAGAAAACTGGTCTGGAACTGGAAGAAACTAGGAAGGCCCCAGGCACTGCTGGCAAAGCAGCAGCAGAGGCTGGAGTTCTGGGGGGGCTCCAGGAGGGGACAGGCTTCCCAATCCCGCCCTAGCCATGAGCCCAGGGTCTCCCTGAAGGGCGGAGAGGTCAGGCGGGCAGAGAGGGCCCTGGGGAGAGAGGCCTCCAGCTTGGCCGCAGTCTTTGCTCTTGCCGCCAGCCGGCAAGGCTGCTGCACATCTGTTTGTTTTGTGCTCTGCGTTCTCCCCTCCCCCTAACCTCTTTGCTCCATGTCCTTTGTTTCCCTTCTCTCTTCCTTCCCAGATTTGCCATTACGATCCCTGACCTCTCTGGCTTCTCTTCCTTGCCTTCTTTGCCTGTCTTTCCCTTCCTTTCAGTCATACTTCCTCCTCCTTGCCTCCTGCCCTCCACCCTCCTGTTTCCAAGCTTCCAAACTGCTTCGACTGCTGGATAAAAATAGCGGTGGCAGCGGCCTGGTCAGGCCTGGAGCCAGGTAAAGCCTGAGCAGACGGGGGTTTGGGGGGGGGAACAACAGAGTCCTCCTGAGAGGGAGGGGGCTCCTTCAAGGCTCCTTAGCTTGCCTGCTTCTGTCTGCCCTCCTACTCCCCAAGAGTCTGAAGGGACCTGTGGGGAAGCAGGGCCAAGACATAGCCCCACACTGCCTTTGTCCCCAGCAGGCCTTAGAAGGAGAGAGCTATCAGCCAGAGAAAAGCAAGAACAGCATCAAGACCGTCACCATCGTCATGACAACCAGTAACCGACCACAAGACAGGTACTGGGGGGCCTGGGTGGTAGTTTCAGGGGAGTGAAATGGGTTTCCAGCAGGCTGGGCACAGTGCCCTTGGAAATTTGGGGTTGCCACTGCAACTGGCTTTCCAGCTGTGAGTCAGGTCTACAAGAGGGATGGGACCGCGCATGCTTCGGGTAAATGTTTGTGGGTGAGTGGTAGCCTCTCCCTGGTCTGTCAATATTTCCACTATTGCTCTCCAGCCAGCTAGCTCCTCCGCCACCCATGTGGGGAGACATTTGGCAGCACCCCTCATTACAGAACACATGTGGCTACACTGTCCTCTTCTTCAGGGTTACCCGGGGCCCTCTGCCTCGGACGACCCCGGGGTCCGTAAAGCTGACCTTCCTCGTTTATGCCCACCTCTGGAGCCTGACCCTCAACTGTGGTCCTGCAGATGTGCTAGGGGAGGAGGCTGGATTCAAGTTCTGCAAGACTCCAGGACCCAAGCTAATTGATAAAGCCATGCCTGCGAGCCACTCCTTCAGCTCAGACTCCCCCACCCCACCCCTGCCCATGCACCTCCCTGTGTCACAGGCCACGCAACAAGGCCATACTACCTGAGACCTTGAACCCTGAGTTTGAGCTCTCTGGGACTCGCTCCCTCCTGTAAAACAGAGGTGAGGTGTGTCTGGATGGGAGGGGATCTCCAGTACGCACAGACCCTCGGTTGCCTCCCTCCAGGCCTCTGTCCCCATCCCAGTCCCCTTGCTGCTCTCATCACTCGTCGAGCCCCACTAGCCTGTGCTGTGTGACCTCGGCTGAGAGTTTTCCCTTTACTCTGGGCCTCTGAATCAAGCCCCTGGCTCTTCTTCAAGAGAGGAGCATATGGGGAATTTGGAGATCTGTCCTTATCATGGGTGCTCACCCAGGCCCTGTACTCTGGCCAGACCTCCTGTCTCCTCACTGCCTTGGGCTTGGTCCCTGAAAATAGGTTTTGGCTGTGGCCAGGATATGGTAGATCCTGGCGGGGGTGGGGGCTGACAAGGAGGGGCAGGGCTGCCTGGGAGAGCTGACCCAACCTTGAGGTTAAGGGCTTGGGCAGTGCCCTGACCAAAGCTGGAGCAAATTTATTTATACTTGGGGCCCAGATGACTTTCAGTGGCCTTATGCCTACTCTAGGTGGTGTGACCTACAAAGCCAGTTCTGTCTGGGCCAGGGAAAAACAGCTCCCCACTTCCTGTGAGACACCCGCCTGCCTGTCCTACTAGGTCCAGAATGTCCTACTAGGTCTAGTTTTGTGAGTTTCTTGACCTCAGAATCCTCTTTGGGGACCCACACAGTCCCTGCCCAGACATAATCACTTCCAGTCTGCCCAAGGGTGGAAGACACTTGCTGTTTGCTTTCTCACTCACCCGCCCACCCCAGGCCTTTGGATTTCCAAAACCACCTCCGGATGTGTGGGTCACACTGGTTCCCAAGCCTGCACGGTCCCCTGAGTCTCTGGGGCTGAGAACCAAGGTCCTTTCTTTCAGCCATGCTCTTCGATCCTGTCCCTGCTTCCCTCCCCCTCTGGACTCCACAGTGCCCACCCCCCCGTCCCCAGACACATCCCCCACCCCTGCACCCACAGGAGGACACATGACATGGACACAAACACAGATGCCCTGTGCCCTGAGCAACTGGAGAGGCCGAAGGTCAGGAAGGGAGGCTCCCCCAGGTCTGTCTGGACGGGGGTGGTGGGTCACTTGGCGCCTCTTCCCTCTCCCATCCCCCAGGTGCAGATGCGTCTGGCTTATCTTCTTCATGCTGGGTTTGGGGACCCTGCTTCCCTGGAATTTTTTCATGACAGCTACTATGGTGAGATTGGGGTGGGGGCTGAGCTCCCGCTGGGCACAAAGGGCCTGAGTTTGTTCTCAGAGGCACAGGGAATCATTTCAACATCCATCTCTACTATCCCTACAGTATTTCACAAACCGCCTGGCCAACCTGCATAACACGTCCTTGGTCACTGCTGAGCCGGGTGAGGAGGTCTCGACCTCGGCCGCCCCCGCAGTAGCTTTTCCAGAGAAGAGTCGCCTCAGTGCCATCTTCAACAACGTCATGACCTTGTGTGCCATGCTGCCCCTGTTGCTCTTCACCTGCCTGAACTCCTTCCTGCATCAGAGGTGAGCGGGCTCCCAGCGCTGCCCTTGCGTCCTCTATACCCCCGGCGGAACCCCTGGCTTAACCACCCACCTCCACCACCCCCGCCTCTCTGGCAGGATCCCCCAGAATGTTCGGATCCTGGGCAGCCTGGTGGCCATCCTGTTGTTGTTCCTGATCACTGCCATTCTGGTGAAGGTGCAGCTGGCTGCTCTACCCTTCTTCATCCTCACCATGGCCAAGATCATGCTCATTAATTGTAAGATCTCCCCGCCATGGCTCCCACTCTTCTTCCAGGCCCACAGTGAGCTGAAGGGGGGTGTCCACTCCTACCCTGGAGGAAATGGATGCCATGGGCAGTCAAGCTCCAGAGACCTCAGCAGGCACCCATCAGAACTGGGGTTGGGGGCAGAGAGAAGGGCCGCTTTGGTGTCCAAGACTAGCGCCAAGTAAATCGGGAATTAGACATGTCTTCCCAGGGGCCCCCACTACCCTCAGCGGAAATGAATCCCCCCCTGTTGATGCCCACCCTCTTCCCCCAGCATTTGGTGCCATCCTGCAGGGCAGCCTGTTTGGTCTGGCTGGCCTGCTGCCCGCCAACTACACAGCCCCCATCATGAGTGGGCAGGGCCTGGCTGGCTTGTTCGCCTCGGTGGCCATGATCTGCGCCATCGCCAGTAAGTCTTGCCGCCTGTCTGTTGCCCTCATTGTTGTGGGAGAAGGGTCGGATGCCCATCTCTGACCACTGACATCCTCCACTCAGGTGGCTCGGAACTGTCAGAAAGTGCCTTCGGCTATTTTATCACAGCCTGTGTTGTCATCATTGTAACCATCGCCTGCTACCTGGCCCTGCCCCAGCTGGTGAGCAGATGGAGAAAAAGCCCCAGGGCTAGGGTGGGGGTGCAAGACTGCAGACTGGCGGCTGCTGAGACTAAAACCCATGGAGGGGAATTCTGGAGATTCCACCTCTCCTGTTTCCTTGCTTGATAGGAATTCTACCGCTACTATCAGCAGCTCAAGCTCGAAGCTGGGGAGCAGGAGACCAAGTTGGACCTCATGGGTAAAGGTCTGAAGAAGCTGGTGTGGAGGGAGCCCTGCCAGGGGTGGGGGCGGTGTGAGCACAGGGCCAGAACGAAGCACTTTGTGCAGTAGAGACACACCAGAGGCCAGAGGGACCAGGGCATGGAGAGTGAGGGGAATTTAGGAAATGAGGAGAGGGAGAGAGAGATGGGATCGGTCCTGGATGACCTTGAGTGCTTGAGAGCAGTAGGAAGCAATTTAGACTCTCAGAGTAGACATAACATGACCTCCGGGGAGAGGAGGGGGACTTGCACTGTGAAGACTCAGAGGCAATCTGGGGTTGGGATTAGGGTCTGACTGGGCACTGGTTACGGGGGTAATCCACCCCCAGCTAGCCCCAGCCCTTTCGGGGAATGTGTGTGTCATTTCTGTTGCTCTGTCCTTCTCACAACCTGAAGATTCTTCTACAACCTGTCACCCCCCAGGAGAGGAGGTGAAGACAGTCAAAGAGGAGTCCGGAGTGTCAGCCAATGCTCAGCCCACCACCAAAGGCCAAGCCATCCTAGCCATCCTCAAAAGTGTACGTGGGCCTGGGCTCATCCCCGTTCCTCCGCCCACACCCTGCAGTGCCATGTCTCCCTTTCTGACCGGAGACTGGGCGCTTCCCTGGACCTCTTCCTGTGTTGGGGTGGTTTCTCAGTCCTTTCATGTACAGTACACCATGAAACATGGCCTGGGTCCCTTTTTTCCAGATCTTAGTCCCAGCTCTGTCTGTCTGCTTCATCTTCACCATCACCATTGGACTGTTTCCTGCGGTGACTGCCGAGGTCCAGTCCAGCATTGAGGGCACCTGGGGTGAGGACACCATGGGATCCCAGGATGGAGACAGATAAACTAGAGCCTGGGAATGGGGGTGAGGGGGTCTGGGCTGCCATCTCCAGCTAGACTACTAGTTTGCTTTTCCGTTCCTGGGCTGGAAGCATCATTGTCATTTTGCAGCTGGGGAAACTGAGCCCCAAGGGAGGGTCAGGAGTGCTAAGTCTGCCTCTCGGGGCCTAATAACCATCTTTAATCTCCTTTTGTAGGAAACTACTTCATTCCTGTGTCCTGTTTCTTGACTTTCAATGTTTTTGACTGGCTAGGCCGAAGCCTCACAGCTGTATTCATGTGGGTAAGTGGCAGGCAGGTGGGGGCATCAGACCCCTGTGAGAGGGAAGAGTTCAGGCCAAGAAAGTGTGGTTGTGAAGGGGCCATGATTTTCTTTTAAAACCAAGACATAATTATATCTGTAAGGTATAGTAACAAGGCCTAAGTACACAGCTCAATGAACACACAGGCAGTGCACATGCCCTGGGTGAGGGCCACTCAGATCGAGATGTAGACATTTCTAGTACCTGAGGGGCCCCGAGTGGAGCTCGTGGGGCCTGGACTGGGGCTAAGGCAACGCCTGGTCCCCACAGCCTGGCAAGGACAGCCGCTGGCTGCCAGGCCTGGTGCTGGCCCGGCTGGTGTTCGTGCCCCTGCTGCTGCTGTGCAACGTCAAGCCTCGCCACTACCTGCCTGTGCTCTTCAAGCACGACGCCTGGTTCATCTTCTTCATGGCCGCCTTCGCCTTCTCCAACGGCTACCTCGCCAGTCTCTGCATGTGCTTTGGGCCCAAGTGAGTAGAACTTGGTGGTATCAGGGGAGAGGGGCAAAAGGAGATTCCTGCTCCCGGCGCCCATAGTTTCTAGGCTGAGAGGAGGCTGCTGAGGGACACCTAGCAGGTGCAGTGGTGGTGGCAGGGGGAGCTCAGGCTTCATGAGCCGGCCATGGGGGAGGTGGAAGGCAGTCCCCTGTCTGTACATGTTCCTCCGAGAGGGAAGTGCCAGATTGGGCTTGGGAGAGTTTGATCAGCAGAGTTAGGTGCTGAGGTGTCTCCCCACGCCGATGCTCTCTAAAGGTAGCATTGCCCTCCCTCCTAGGAAAGTAAAGCCGACTGAAGCAGAAACTGCTGGAACCATCATGGCCTTTTTTCTGTCTCTCGGCCTGGCGCTGGGGGCTGTATTCTCCTTCCTGTTCCGGGCAATTGTGTGATCACAAATGGACAGAAAAGACAGTCGGACTGCCTGTTCCTGCCCCTTCCTCCTTTGTTGAATGGGTGGGTTTGGTCTGGAGGTTGTTTCTAGTTGACTTCTGCTTTCTCAAGTCCCGGTTCAGGCCCTGAGAAGGAAACCGCTGAATGGACAATGGAGAACATTAGGCCTATAGGTCAGAGTTGAGGGAGGGGATACAGCCTGTATCTGCTTGAGGCCCAAATGTGGCTCTGACTGATCCCTATTTGAACAGAATGGCAGAGGCTGAGAGTGAGTCAGTGTGTGTGTGTGTGTCAGTTAGTATGTTTGTCTGTGCCAGGGGTGGCTAGGGGCCAGGACTGTGTTCTTAGGTCCCATCAGATATTTCCACGCCCCCCCTCCCCCACCTCTCCATGTTCCTCCCCTGCTCCCCCTGTCTTGTTCCTACCCAAAATGCACTGTTAGAGATGCCATTTTACTGCCTTTTTTATACTCCACAGAAACCAGTTGCCTTCAGAGGCTCTCTAATTAAATAAACCTTTTTTTTTTTTTTTTTTTCAGTCCCTCTATGGTTCTCTGTATCCTCCAGCCACAGCTTCATGGCCTGGAGAGGTAGAGGGATGGCAACCTAAATTTGGGGGCCATCTGGGACTAAGTATGACCCAGCTAGGTCTTAGGCTGTGCAGCATCTGGGGCCTGGAGTGTTTGTGGAGTGGGGGTGGAAGGATGACTGGGACTGTCATGCCTGTAGGCCTCAGAGGGCCTGCAGTGCCCCCTGCTGGGATCACACAGTAGGCACAAGCCTGCAGCCAGGACACCCAGACTGTTGGCTGGACCAAGACAGTACTTTTTCTTCATTGTTTCATTCTTTCATAGTACGGGGGGAATGGAGACAGCACCCCATCCTTTATCTTCACTGCCACCCCCTCCACTCTGACCTCAGCTCGGGAATGAGCTCTGCAAAGCTGCCCCCTAGGTCCTGACGGTACTCCCACACCTCTGGGCAGGAAGAAGCTGCTGTGGCTCAAGGGTTCTCCCCTACCTGGCATGCTGCCCTGACTCACTCGGGTTTCCTGCGGAACAAGAGGCCTATGTGTCCTCAAGTTGTAACTGGGTCCTTTTCTTCCCAAACTCCAGGCTCGGGCAGTGGGGGAACCATGCCACTGAGACCCACTTCTCAAAACTGACTCCCTCCCCCCACCTCAACCACCCTATCCCTTTACCCAAGGTCTGACTTCTCCCAGAAAGGCAGGGAGTACTCGGCACTGCCCAGACTCTTCACTGACCCCTGACCAGCAGAATGGTACCTGTAGGTCTTCATTTCTCAGTTTCATTTAACTGAAGACTTTAGGCCTTGTTAAGAACTGTTAGTACATTTTGAAGGCTCTTTGACAAGCTGAGTCCTAATCAGGTACAGAATGTCATTGTATTGGGAACTGTGTCCTGGAGTCCAGGGTACTTGTCACACCAGGATACGTCTGTGAAGTTGCTGAAAACAAGGTATTCTTCCTTTTCAGGTTCAAAAGCTAGTTTCCCAGTTTTACTAAGTTTTCAGTTTTTACTATACCATTTGGCTGTGAGTCAGACTGAAATAAACCTATGCCCTTTCTTTTCTCCACCCCAGTCCTTTCCAACTTCTCCATTGTACCAAACCTGAGTAACTCACTGAATTCCTTCCTCAACACCAGCAGCTCCTTAGGGACCCTGTGCTCTCTCTGGGTCCCTTTAACCACCTCCTACCTGACCTTTTAGGATTTGTGCCCAGGTCTCCTTCAGCCCATAGCCAAAGAAGAATCTGAAAATGTAGGGGTGTGCGGGTCTGGAGTATGCCAAGGTAGCATATCAGGATAATGCTGTTGTGCAATTCTTTGAGCCCTCTACAGCTCAAAACTTAAAAACTCTGTACTTGATCTTCTAAGCTCTTACTCTAGCTACTATCATGTTTTTCAGGTCTTTAAAAGTTGTATTGAACCAGTCTTTCCATGATACTCAGGTGTTTGCCTGGTATGGGCTTGTCCCCTGCCCAGCCTGCACTTGCCCAACTCCTGCTGGGTGGCAGCATTCACTGCCAGTGCCCATGGGATAGAGGTGGGACGTTAAGTAGGGTCTTCAACCCCACCAAAGGTCTGAAGGAGAGAAAAACAGATCATAGTCATCTACTTTGTGACCTTAAGTTGATCTTGAAGATTATTACTAGAATGTTTTTTTAATGCCAAAAAAAAGTTGTTATTCTCACTCATTTCCAACCCTGGCATCAGTGTTTTCACCAGAAATTAGGGAGGAGTGAGAATGAGGCGGAAAAAGTTGCCAGATCTCCTGCCAGGCCGTTGCAGTGATAGCCCCCCACCACAAGTGGGTGCAGCCAGTCCACTATCAAGGCTCAGGATGTTTCTCATTGCACATTGCAATTTCCCTTGTTTTACCTTGTATGTGAGTTGTTGGGGATTTAAACTCTTGAAAAGCTAAATAAATGTCCCAGCATAATCAGCAGACATCTTAAAAATACCCATGAAGCTGGGCTCCCTTGCCCCTCCCTGGCCTGGTTCCACCAGCTGGGAGTTTCACTTTATTTGTTCCTTTGCTCAATAAACTTTCTCTTAAAAAAAAAACACATATGCACACACACATGCGTGTGTGTGTGTACATATACATGAAGGTGAAGTAAATTGGGGTAAGTGGAGCTTGACAGGAAAGCCCAAGTTATTGGGGAAATGTTCTCATAAGGTTAAACTGCAATAGTGAATCAAAATGAATGTGAGCAGAGAAGTGCAAAGTCACTTTAAAAGAGTATTCCTGGCTGGCTTGCAGGTCATGCCTGAAAGCTGAGTCCTGACACAGGAAATGTGGCAGCCTGAAGGCTGCCAGCCAGCAGCAGATCTCACCGGGAGGCCTCCCACTGCTCTCCTTGTTGGCAAGTCGGCAGTGGATGAAAGGATGGGCAGAACCCACATCTTCCAAAGCAACCAATGATCAGTGTTCTAGCTTGGTATCTCTAGCTTGTTACGGTGTGACCCAGCAGCTGCATGGGTCCCCTCTGGAAGAGGATGTGCTCACAACCTCTCCATATGGTGGCATTCCTGGTGCTTGCTGTCAGTGAGCCAGCTGGCATTCTGCGTCCAGGCCGCAGGGTGGTGCTAGATGAGTCAGCAGGAAAAAAAAAAAAAAAAAGAGGGGTCTCTGCCCAGGCAGGCCACTACCCTCTCCCTCTCCCAGTCTGAGGTGGGGTGGTTGGGGGGGGGAGCGGGATTCAGATTCAGAGCCTAGAAAATACTGCTGGTGTGATTCTGGACAAGTCACTCACCCTGGGCCCAGAGTCTAGTTCTTAAGTCAGGTGGCATGAACTTAAAATTAAAGAAATTGGGAGAGGGGCCTCCCTGGTGGCACATGGGGTTAAAGACAGTTCTGTATAGCTGTCACCGGGTACTGCAGCTTGCTGCAGCTGGTGTTCTTCCCCTATCCTCAGCAGGCCAGGAAGCTAGTCCGCATAGCACAGCAGACCTTTCTGGTCTCGGTCTGGCCCCCCTCAGCAGCGTATTTCCCTAAGCCGCCTGTTTAGCGCTGGGCTCTTAGGTGAGTCCTCTCAACCCCACCCCACTCCCCACATACACTTATGACCTACACCCCAGGTCTTGTATGCATAAATAAATGTCTTAAAAACAAAGTTGGGGCAACGTGCGAGGGTCTCAAAACAGTGAG